GCTCTACTCACATCATTGTGGGAAAATTCAACTACCAGTCGTTCATCACCTTAGACGAAATAGGGGGTATACATATAATTAATTTATTGGTAGTCTAGAATCCTACTTCTGAACTATAAATAACTTTATTTCTGCATTGTGTTAGGATTCTCCTTATATTCAGGGCTTCCTAGAATGACTAATTGGTGGTGTTAAGTTGCATGCCTTGTCTGGAAAATCCCTTATTCTCTAGCTTAATTTTAGAGCTAATTGTTTCCGATTGCATAATAGACAAAGTTGTCTTGACCCAATCAAGTAATTTTAGTGAAAATGTTTTTGCAAGCTACTAAAATGTAAAATGGGCCGACACTCCCAAATTCACAAACTTATCAGATCGCTCAGATAACTGAATGAGAGGTGAGCTTGCAGAAAGCTCTTGGGCCATAATTGTTAAGCAGGTTGATCTTGCCAGAAGACCACGTCAGATTCCTCTTGGCCAGCTGTCAATCGGCCTTACTGGAACATTTTTGTTAATGCTATCCTCGAGGCAATCGTCTTCGATTCTAAAGAAGGTGTACTAAACTTTTATCCCTCATATGACGGACATCATCAGGTCAAGGTAGCATTCTTAAGCACACAGGCAAAGACACAGATATATGATTGAAGATTGTAATGTGACTTTCCGAATCTTTAAAACCTCATAATACATACATGCATGGATACATAAATTCAGACATACATACATACATACATACATACATACATACATACATACATACATACATACATACATACATACATATATATATACATACATACAAACAAACAAACAAACAAACAAACATACATACATACATACATACATACATACATACATTATACATGCCTTCATACATACATACATACATACATACAAATATATATGCAACAGTAAAAATAAGCCGATGAGTTTTCCTCATTATTTAGCTTGACACTCGTTGTAAGAATGATATTTTACCCTGATGATGTCCTTCATATTATGGACGAAATCTTAACACATTTTCATCAGAATGCAGGAAGACTTTTTTGTAAAGCGAGTCGACAGCTGGTCAAGCGGAATACGCCGTCGTCTTGCGGTGGGATCAGCATTCGAATTTCTTCACCAAACACTACCAGTCAAAATATAAGTGAGTTCGACTTGTGTTACCTACACCGGAAGAGCAGGGAAATAATTTCAACTTTATTTTGATAGGCAGCTCAACACCGAAGAGCCTACGTACTCCCAAGGCCTTTCAAGCCTGATGACATTTCTCATCCGGCGATTTGCGTCCACCATTATGCCGGCACGACTGGCCAATACTTCATTAGACCCTGGTTTTTAAAGCTAGATTTTTTTAAAAACTAAAAATAGTATGCACTTCTACTCTCCTTTGGAACTTTATTTTCAATTTTATAACATTCGCCTTGCTGTAAAAGGTGGAAGAGGGGGAAATGTAAATCCGCGGCATCAGAAACCAAAAGTAGATTAATACCACCGTGATAGACATCGTCAGGGAATAAAACCACTGATTAAGAAGACTTCATTCAGCAAATACTAAACAAAGAATGACTCCATACTCTGATATAGCCTAAATGTAATTGTTAAATGTGGCATCCCATGCTTTAGCTGCTATTTCATTTTCCCTCCACATATAGGCAAGTAAGCGAGGTGGCTTCGGTTAACGTGCCTCATAAATACTGTGAGGTGAGAGGACTCTAAAAATATTCGAGGCTGATAAGGACCAGTCCTGCTACCTATCCACAATCTACTCAAACTAACACAAATTTTTCTTATTAGATGTTCTTCTCACTTTCCCTCTATCCAGAATTTTGTCTATTTTGTCTATTTCTATACACTAAGTTTAGCTGGTTTGTGGCGCGTATAGGAAAGAATTACGATTCTTAGTTTAAAGACTTAATAACAGATATGGCATTGAGCCACTAGCCCGTCGAAACAGACCCAACAAGTCGGCTCGGTGATAGATCTACTTACATCCCAATTAATTCTGCATTTCTACGCTCATCTGCTCAACTGGAAGTTCTTTTGGGATTAGGTAATCGCATTCACCCTTGTGTCCATTAGACTTGCTGACCACGGACCTCTCCAACGCTCTGTTATAATTACTCAAGGTTATTCCTGGTCGTTTCGTGGCCTGAAT